CCAGAGACGCTAATGAAATTAACTCTGCAAAATGCTCATCAGGTCATCTGCAGAGGGCACAGTGCCAGGCTTCAGCTTGGTCCAATCCCGTCCTCCTCCTCAGCTCCTCCTGCCCCTTCCTGACGATTCCCCGCCCCCACCTTTTCACAAGGCCCTCCAGCAGGGAACACATCACCTCCAAACCTTCCTGAGAGTGCCCAGTGGGGACACTAGAAATGGGGGCTGTGTAGCCAGGGAAACCTGAGAGTCTGAGATGGCAATACCACGGAGCTCATGGAGCTGGAAAGGTTGTCTCTGGGTGTGAGCATTTCTTTGTGCATGTTTCTGAGTGTGTGTGTGCATGCGTGTGTGTGTGTATTGGATGTGATAGCACATATATCATAGGAGCATGTATCTCTAATAAAACCATTTATTAGACTGAATGTTCTTTCAATCACTCAGCAAACATTTCTGGAGCAGCATCTAGGTTTAAATCCTTGCTTGACCCCTTACAGACTGAGTGGCTTCAGGCAAGTTACCTACCCTCTCTGTGCCTCAGTTTTTGTATCAATACAATGGGGATGATGAGTATCTACTTCATAAGTGATTGTGAGAATTGAAACAGAAAACCATAAGGAGCTTAGTTAGTCCTGTGCTGGGCATGTGTTGAGGTCTCAAGAAATCTTGGGCACTGTTCTTGGTCCTGGAAGCGAGGAGATGGCAGGTGCTGAGCTGAGGCACAGGAGAGGTCCAGGCAAAAAGTTCTCAAATACAATAGCATGGGGCAGCATGGGGAATAGGCATGAGAATAGTCTGTGCAGGAAAGAAGTGGGATATGTGTAAGTGTGTTTACGTGTATGTAAATATATACAGGGAACTTATGCATTTTTATCGATTGTGTTCTGTTGCGAGCGTGCGCCTGTGTGAGTTGGGTGTGGGAAGTGCATGTATGTCAGGAGCTGTATGGGTGCTGGCATTCTCTCTCTCTCTCTCTCTCTCTCTCTCTCTCTCTCTCTCTCTCTCTCTCTCTCTCTCTCCTGGATTCAGGGCATGGGTGGGTATTGGGGTTCTGTGTGTGGAAGGGACTGGTCCAGATGTTGCTGGGGGTCCTCTGAAGGGGATTATTTCTAGTTTTCTCTCCCCTCTTCACCCCCACACATTCTTCACTTGTCTGGTGACCCGGCTGTCATTCCACCCTAACTTACAACTGGAAGGACATCTATGTGTTCTCCCACAGGCTGCAGACTCCCCCAGTGGGTAGCGCTGAATTTGCAAACAGTAGGCACTAATAAATGCCTGCCCTATCCTGGGAAAGGCTCTAGAACAGGCATCTAGAACGAATGGTCCTGTATCATTCTTTCAAATGCAAATGAAAGAAACCCAAATGGGCTTAAACAACAAAAAAAGGGAATGTATTGGCTCATGTAACGGAAAAACCTAAGATATATCTGACAGCTTCCAGAACAGCTGGATCAAAGGATCTTGAATGGTGATGAACCAGGATTCAGCATCTCTCTCTTCTCCGGGCTCTGTACTTCTCTGTCCAGGCTGCAATCTCAAACATGTGCTCTTTACATCATGGCAGCTCCAGGGTCTCCTCTTCTCTTCTCCAATAAGAAAAGAAATTCTTCCTCTCCTTAGTTACAACAAAAGTCCTAGAAATGAGCCTGAGTGGCTTGACTTGAGTCATATGTGCATCCTACTCCAGTGAATCACTGTGTTTCAGGGGACAGTAGATGCTGAGAGGCCAGGCTAAAGTATATGTCATCCTCTGGAACTAGGGTGGGGTAACCCCACACAAATCTCATGCACTGACAGTGGGGAGGGGGTAATCCCTCAAAGGAAAGACGGGAAGATGCTGCTTTCAGAGGACAGAAGTTAGATGCTGAGCAATGGGCAGATTTGGATATTGGGGTCAGGGCAACGACCATTAAGGGCCAATGTGAGGTCACCAAGAGCAAGTCTTACCTGCCGAACTACCTGTTTGATTGGGTTACTGGCCTGGTGGATCAGGGCGAAACTGGATGCCCATGAGTCTGGGGCTCCGCAGGGTCTTTCCACTTATTTAGTGAATGCAGCAGTGAGATGTGAGCTAAACAATGGTATGGTCTCAGTGGACGAAGGAAAAGCTGACTTTATTGTCCTAGAGCAACTTGCAAGATAGTCTGGAGTGGGGACCCACTAGGCTCTGTCCTTGGTCCTGCCCTCAGCCACCTGTTTAGTAAGGACTTGGTTGAAAGTATGTATGACTCCCCCATCTCATCTGGGAATGATAGGAAACTGAAGAAAATAGCAAGTACCCTGCCTGACAGCCTCCACATCCTGAGAGAGTTCCATATGGGAAAGAAGGATTAAACGTGATATGATGGAAAAGAATTGGGATGAAATGAAGCCTCTACATTTAAATTCAGAAAGCCAGTAAGCCAAGGGTAAATAGGAAACACTCAGTTGTTGGCAGCACCTATGGCAAAGATTTAGGACAGTGTGCCTCAAAGTGCAGTCTTCAGACCACTGGCATCAGTAGAAATAGCTAGGGGAAGGGCTTGGTACAAGCACAGATTCCTAGACATAGTATCAGGATAGGGGTAGGGCCTGGATATTTGTATGTTAACCAGCATCACAGGAGCTTCTGGCATATCTCCAAGTCAGTGATGGCCTCGCCACAGGCTCTGACGTCCCCTGATCCAGTATGCATTAACAGTGTGATGTCACAACCAACATCTAATTGGGACACTGCTTGTGCATCAGGCCACATGGGCAAGAGATGTGCTGACTCCCTTTAGGAAGTACCTTCAGAGAAGCAGTCTCGCTGGAGAGCACCTGCAGTGGGGGACAGGTTGTCCAGGACAGGACCCCAGAGCCCCACTGCTATGCAGTGACAAAAGCAGAACTGTTTGGCCTGGAGGGGGGAAAATTCCAGATAGACCCAGATTTTGTGTTCTGAAACAAAAAAAAAGAAACATTCTTCTGAAATAACAAAAGGAAAAGAGGCAGCACACATGCTTGATGTGGCCCCAGAGAATGAACCCAGTGAGGGGCAGATTCTTCCTCCCTAGAGAGGTGTCTGGCCAGCAGAATGGTTGGAGGGGAACCCCATGCCCTGTCACTGGGATATTGCAAGGAGGCTGCACACACTTGTTGGGGGTACCACCTAGATGACATTTGGGCCCTCTCTCCCTTCGAATCTGGGGCTGAAGGGCAAAGAGGGTTGGAGATGCCAGGAACCCTTCTCCCACCTAGTCATCTACCTTCCGGTCTGAGTCAAACCTTCCTGGCAGCCCTCCTGATTCCTAAGCAGAATTCAAGTGAAATGTGTATTCCCTCATCTTCAAAGGGCCTACTGCTCCTTTCTCTGACATGCCCTGAGTATCACTTGGAAGGAGACAGTTTAGCTGAGATCTGCGTGACTAAAAGGAACCAGCATATGAAGATCTGGAGACAGGGTGTTCCAGGAAGAAACGCAAATGGGAAATACTGGAGGTGGGGATGAGCTTGGATGCTGGAGAAACAGAAGGGAGGCCACCATGGCCAGGGCAGAGCAGGCAGGGGACAGGTCACACTGGGCCTGGAGGCTGTGGTCATCATTAACGCTGCTTTTACATATTTCAGCTGCTGCTGTCCAGGTAAATGGCAGGACTGCACTTCCTGGCCCTCTTGGATGGGGCCTGTGGGGCCAGTTCTGGCCAATGAATGGTGAATGGAAGTGACATGTGTCATTTCTGGGCTGAGCCATTGATTGCTGGTAAGTGTTCTTCCAGAGCCCTCTTTTCCTCTGCCTCACGGACCAACCTCATAGCTCCCAGAGTGGCTGCTTCATCAGCCTGGGTCCATGAGTGAGGGTGGTCTGGAGCAGTAGACCCATGATGGACAAATGAGAAATAAACCTTTGTTGATTTAAGCCATTGAGATTTGAGGACTCTTTCCTACCACGGCATAACCGAGTCTATCCTGACTGCTATACAGACCATTCTATTCTGTCTGAAGAGAGAGGGCCAGGGAAGTAAACACATCAATGGAACTGAACAGAAAAGGAGAATCTTTCCTTTCCTGTACTTCAAACCTTATTCCCAAATTTGAATCCCAGAGCAGAAACTGCAGGAGGAGGAAATGTAAGGAGTATGGACATTGAAATTAAACCTCCCAGGGACACATCTCAGCTAGCCCTGCAATCATTGAATAAGGTTGGCCCTGGGCATAAGGCACTTCCCTTTCCCCCAAGGCTCAGTTACCTCATCTGTATAATGAGGATAATAAAGTTTATTTAACAGGATTGCATGTGAGGATCAAACCAAATTATAAATGAGGTAAGGACATAGCAGAGTCTAGCACACACCATTGTGATATCATCTCACATTCCAGCCCCCAATCCCAGTCCTTCATCCTCAACCACCTCTCTCCAGTGCCCAAACCCAAGTTCCTAATCATCTCCCCGAGAAACCCCAAATGCAGGTCCTGCTACTGTTTCACCTCACCTACCCACCTCTTCTCTAAGAGCAGGGTGGGTCCTGGTGTCAGAGGGAGCAGCCTGGAAACACAGCACTCCCCCCGCCACACACACACCCCAGTTGGATAGACTGGCCCTCCTGACATGGCATACATACAAGCAACCCCCAAAGCACAGTTCAAAAACCAGAAGCTGGTGGATATTTGTGGACATTTTCATCTGGGCTCATTAGAGGTTTAATTTTTTTTTAAAAGATTTTAAATCAGAAGATTTTACATACAATTATTTCTACTGAAATCTACGGGAATATTGGAAGATATGCACAATACTGAGCCCCAATTCCACACACACACACCCCAACTGGCACCTGGAGCAGAAGAACCAGCTGTCCCTTTAGATGGGACCCTGTGCCCAGTCCCCAGCGCTGGCGTTTCCTCCTTGGCGCTGAAGCCCAGTGATTGCAGATGTGTATTTAGACATTGGCTGATTTTTTTATATATCTATAATAGAATTAAAAGGAAAGCAAAAGCATTTCTCATAACCTTTCTCTATCAAAAGTAGGAAACAAAAGACATACCAAGAGAGGGCCTCATGTTTCAAGAAATATAGGCGAGCTCATATCTCTTTGTGGAGCGAAGACCACTCATATTGCCCAGCGTGCAACATCCATTTGTATTATCGTCGGGCCACTGTAGACGTTTTAGTTTGAGATCCTGCCCTCACGCTTCTCATCCCCCTCCCCACCCACCGTAGAGCCCTCTCCTTTTCTGACTACTCGCCCAGTGCATTTGATACGCGCTTATCATTTCCTTTCTCATTCTAGGTAACCCTCTGTTTATTTTAACCCGATTAGGGAATGGGGGTGGGGAACAGGAGACTCCAGCAGCAGTCCTTGCTGGAGGCTCCGGGAGACGACGTGACTTGCCCAAGGTCACAGAGCTTGAAGGCGGAGGCGCCTAGTCCCTATCCCAGGTCTCTCCAGCTCCTACAGTCCAGCTAGCTCCTTCACGCCCACGTCTCCCGCGCTGTGCGCGCTCCGGACGCAAACACTGCGCGCCCAGTCGGATACGCTGCGCCCTGGGGTTGTTTTCCTTAGGCTAACGGCGCCGTGGGGTTAGGGAAACCTTGGGTCATGCTGGGGCCTACCAGGTTACGTGCTTGGGACTGCAGGTGGTCCGGAATCTGAGCTGCCAGGGCACCTATGCGGGCGGGCCGGGGCCGGGGCGCTCTCCCGCAGTCCCCTATCCAAGCCGCGGGCTAGTGGCGTACCACGGCGCGCTGACGGCCTCGGAGCGCAGCCCGGAGGCGGGGAGTAGGGTGGGGTGCGGGGAGAGGACTGCAGCGGAACCTGCCCCGGGCACCCCGGCCCGGGGTGGCTTTCTGCAGGCTGGCGCCGCGCCGGGGTCGCCGCAGCCTGGACCCCTCCCGGGCCACCTGTGCGCAGACTGGGTCCTGGGAGAGCCCGGATCCGAGAACTGATCCACTCCGGGTTTCAGACTCCTGGCCTGGTCCCTGGAGACCGCGAGGGGCGGTGGGAGGCCCCCCCCGCCCACCATCCCAGCCCCTCCCTGGGGGAGCTTCGAGCATCACCAGGAGGGATCCCTGGAGCTGGGGGTCGCCCGCGCGTTAGGCACCGGGCGGCTGGGCCCCTCCTTCCTTCCCCCGCCCCGCCCTGCCGCCGCCCGGCTCCGTTACTCCAGTCCGTGTTTTGCGGCGCCCGCCGGCCCGCTACCCGGCTGCGGGCTCCGCGCGGCGGCTGGCTCGGTGCGCGGCGCGGCTGGCGCTGCGCTCCGCCCTGGCTGCATTGCTGCGCTCCCGGTGCCCAAGGGAGCCACGCGCCGCGTGCGCCCCGCAGCCCGCCGCCCGGAGGCAGCGCAGTCCGCTGGCATGGGCCCCGAGGGCGCCCCAGGCTGGGGCTCTGGGCTGAGGCGCTGAAAGCCGCCCTCCCGCCCACGGGGCCCTGCGCCCGGCCAGCCCGCCCGCCCGCTGCCATGGCCGTCCGGCCCGGCCTGTGGCCAGCGCTCCTGGGCATAGTCCTTGCCTCCTGGCTCCGCAGCTCGGGTGAGTCACGCGCACACTCTGGGGAGGCTTGCGGGGAATCGTGCGCGCGAAAGCTTGCTGCTTTGGGGGGGTCTCTGACCCGCGGTGCGGGACCCAGTTGGGAGCCCCCCGAGGCCAAACTTTGAGAGGCGGGACGCGGGGGACGCCTCTCGCTGCTGCTTAGCTTCCCCGCGCGCTACCCCGGAAGCCTGGGTTCTGCCAAGTCCAGGAGCAGCTGTTCGCACGCGGGGCTGGCGGGTGTAGGCGCCCCACGCCTCCGGGCGGGGGAAGTTTGCTGTTTGTCCGGCCCCAGAGCAGGGTCAGGGGTTTGAATCAACTCCCCAGGGAACCTGACTTTAAGGGTCGTAGATTAGAGGGTGTTTGACCACATCCCGGTCGTCTGGAAATCGAGGGGGGGTGGTTAAAATACCTCTTCCCGGTAGCATCTGCCTCAAACAGCTACTCACAGTTCCCAGCTTGGCACCTGGCCTCTGCCCACGTCCAGAACACAGTGTCCTCCTCTGTCCCCGCCACACACGCTCGCACACGTACACACTCAGGCGTGGAGGCGCATACACCAGCCCCCAGCCCTTGCCGCCCGCACAGAGCACTGCGCCCCCGGACTGGGACTGTGGCTCCAGGCTCCCCTGGTGCGTGGGGGCCGGAGTTGTGTGCGGTGGGTCCACTGCCGCTCCCTTCTCCCTTTCACGGCACAGCCCTTCTTCCTCCTTTCGGTGTTCCACCGGCCACCCTAACCTGCTTGGTAACTCAGCCCTCAGCCCACCTCCTTTGGCGGGGTGGGGGGTCCCCTGCATCCTTTGTCTGCTATTCCTGAGCTTCCACTCAGGATGAGCTGTTGGGGCCCCCTGATCTCTGCCCCCCCCTCCCCACCCATGCAACTAGCAGGGCTGAACTTAACGTGTGTATGGTGGGGAGGGGTCATTTACGTGATCAAGGGGGCATGGGGCTGGCCCTAGCAATTCTTGATTCTTGCTGCCTTGAGAACGTGGGGGGTGTCTCCCAGCCTGTCCAGGCCATTGTTATTCCCAGGGGTGTCAGGAGGGAGCGTTGGTGTTCCTGAGATGCAAAGCCAGACTGATAGATCAATGAAAGATTGCTCAGAGACCAGCCCGATGATTGAGACTGATAGCTGTTTCTTTAAGGGTCTCTGCGTAGTACATCCTGCACCCACCACTGCCTGACCACCCTCCCATCCAGCCCCCTCAGTCCTCCCTTACCCCATCCCATTCACTCTATCGCCCTTCTCCATCCCCCCCCCCAATCCTCACTTTAACAAACCCTTCTGCCCCATGACCTCCCCTTCTAATCCTGACTGAGCTGGAGGCTGCACTGCTGCTGGGTTTGTGTTCATGTTGCACACATGTGCGTGTCAGGAGTGTGTGTGCCACACTCAAGGGGTGCGGGTTGCACCACTGACCATGGTAAGCTGGGGGTATTCATGGTGCTCACACAAGAAAGGTGTTTCCAGATACTGAGTAGGTGACCAGGGAAGGTTTACTGAGTCGAATGTGTGAGAGGTCTGTGTGATCATGTCTGCATGTTGCCCATGTGAACACGTGTGAGGGCTGTGAGTTGGCATGTGTGCCCTGGTGACGACAGGGCCTGGAAGTGTGTGTAGCACTGGTATGTGTGTGGCCACACATGTGTGATGGTTTTGAGCAGTTGCACAGGTGAGCATGTATAGATAAGTAGGTGACAGGTGCTGGTGCATCAGGGCACCACAGCCTGGGGGGAGGGGTGCCACATGGATTCCTCAGGAGGCCGTAGAATAGGGGAACTGCATCTCTGGTTGGTGGGGCACCTGTTGGGGCCAGGTCCATGGTTTCCAGGGAGCTGACAGGTAGGCCCTAGTGCCGTAGGGCTGCCCTGGAGCACAGCCTGCCTCTGGGCATCCACTCACAGGCCTGTGGGAGGAGCTGCTGAAGGGCATGGAAGGGCCCTCATTCTCACCTGGGACCCTTACTCCTGTCCCCCACAGGCTCTGGGCACATGTGCCCAGGCAGGTCTGGCCCTGCAATGACCCCGGCTTCTCCTGCACCGCCCATCAGCTTCTCAGCAACAGTAGCCAGTGAAGAAAATGTGTGTGAGTGGCCAGCCAGGTGGCAGGGGGCGCCGGGGGCCAGCATGGACAGCAGCCTCCTGCTCCCCAGGCCAGGCGCCCACCCTGTGTCACACAAAAGCCTGTCTCTTCAGCACACTCACTTGGTAGGCCCCTCTTTGTGTCCTCGCTCGCACACAGGGACTGACCAGCCTCACAGGATTTTCCCATTCACACCCAGTCACACAGCTGGGACCTGCCTCTCTGCCCCTGTGGACCACACACACCTGTCCTCTGTATTCACGCAAACCTCTGCAGTCCTTGAGGGAGGGGCCCGTGGGGAGCTGGCTCTCCTGAAAGGAGGGACTGAGGAGCACCGAGCCGTGGCATTGCCCATCCTGACCCCAGTAATCTGTCCTGGTGGTCTCTTCCTCAGGCCCCACCCCCATCCTCAGAGCTGGTTTTGGACCCCTCTGTCCATCCCCCAACTCCAGACTGGAGCAGTTGGTTGCGGGGAGAGTGTCTTAATTCTTCAGGGCTAAGAGATACCCTGCACTCACTCACTCTCCTTTGGGGATGGAATGGGTTAGATTTGGGGCCCCCAGGTGTCCTGACTCCCCTTTACCTGTATTGGGAAGGGCTTCCCTCAGGAGCCCAGGGATTAGCATTGATCCAGGTACCAAACCCCCAACCAAGAGGCACTGGCCTGGTTCCTAGGAACAGCAACTTTGGCCTCAGCTGGGGTCCAGCCCCCCCCCTTCCCGCCTTTACATACCTTCCTCCTGCCTGGTGCTGCTTTAGGCCCCAGGGTGGGGGACTCCCCCAGGTAAAGACTAATGCTAGGCTTGTCGCCTGAGAACATGTGTCTACACACATGCATGCCTGGGCCTGCTCATTCCAGGCCAACTCTGTCCTGCTGCCCCCGCCCTCCCAGGGACCCTGCCTCCCCCCGCTCCCCCTATTCCGCCTGCCCAGGGCTGGAAACCTTAGACTCTCTCTCAGCTCTCCTGTCTCCTTCACGCTTCATGTCTAATCTGTAACTAAGTCCTCTAGCTCAGTCCTACTTGTGACATTGCTTGCGTCCCCCCTCCTTTTCACACCCCGCAGGCCCTTTCTCCTTCACCCTTCTCACCTAGACCAGTGCCATGGCTGCCCCCGCTCATCCCCCTCCTGAGCTTCCTCCGTTTAGACTAATGCTCCAGCTGCCCAGGCTGGAGCCCCACTAGAACGCTTTCTGTGCCTCCCCAGTGCCTGTCTCTAACCCCAAGCCTGGGGGCCCTTAGGGAAGCCCCTGAGTTACCATACTCCCCTGGGCTGATCCATTGGGAGGGGGGCGTCCTTCCTGGTTCTGCCTGCTGGTGGACTGGACATCCATACCCCCCACAAGCTCCAGCTTCTGAACTGTAGCTCCCTTGCCTTACAGAACCATGTCCCCTGGCCCTGCCAGCCATGCTGCCTACCCTACACCCCAACATCCTTGGCTCTATCCAGACCATTCTGCTGATCTCAGCCCACAGTCCTCTAAGAGGCCTTCCTACCTCCTCCCAGGGCCCATGCAGGGGCTGTAGCACAGTGAGGAGCTCTGAGTGGGCTGCAGGACAGAGGTGCTGGTTCCTTGGCCCTGGAAGGCATGTGGGGCTTGGGGGCCACTGCCAGATGACTCTGGCCTGAGCCACTTTGTCATTCACTTCACTGCTTCCCACAAGTATTGCCATTGTCTATGGGGCTAGGACCCTGCTCTCAGCCCCCAACATGCTTGGAGTCACGGCCAGTAAAGTGCTTCTTTTTTCTCTTTATTTCCTCCTCTTGAGTTTGGGTTCTTTGGCTAGGCAGGGAGGGCTGCTGTGCCTGGGGAGAGGGAAGGAAGTTTGCTCTGCCCCCCTCAGCAGCCCTCCCCATCCCTGTCCCCAAACACAAACTGCCCTGCTCCAGGGAGACTGGAAATGACATCAGTCCAGGGCAGGGATGAGCAAGGTGACCCCCACCATGGGGTGGCTGTGCCCCGGCCCATTACACAAACGGCAAGCCAGCTCTCATGAGTGTCCGTGTTTGTGGGTCCCTTGCACAAGGTGTATATCTGTTATCTGTTGACTAAGAACCTCCCTGCCCACTCCCACCCCTCCCAGGCATAGATGTTCCCAA